GAACCAAAGTTTTAAAACAAAAAGGGAGGAATTGTGGGGATCATGAGTATTGGTTGTAAGTATTGTTAACTCTAGTAACTCCATATGTGTTAAGTTTCTCCAGTTTAGCAGGTAGAGTGTTTCCTTTGTGGAATTCCTGAATGTTACAGTTTCTTGTCTCGGACCTTTAGACGTGTGGTTGTCCGGGTTACTACTACCCATGGTGGGTTGTTTTTGTTGAGCTTGTTTGCTCTTTTCCTGTGTGACCTTTCAGTTACTTTGGTAACCCCATCCCATAATAGTTTGTGGTTTTTTGCTTTAAAAGGCCGACACTTGCCGGCAATAAACGCCGCCTTGATCAGACTCTTGTCTTGGCGTCCTTCCTTTCTCTCTGCCCCATCTCCACCCCACTGCTCTTTCAGGTTTGAGACACTGCTGGACAGTGCTCTGCATCGCCAGCTGGCGACACTGGCTGCTTGAGGTCACCTGCTAAATAAAGCATCAAGATATAAGTGCTCAATCTGATCTCTGCCTTCAGGGGGCTCCAGCTGGGATACTATTGCTGCGTCCAGAGGTGCCTTCTCACTCCAGGTCCCCAATGTTGGCTCAACACTTACTGACCTGTTGGTACTCCCTATGCCTCTGACAACCAGGGAATGTGGGAAAACAGTATGTTAAAAGACTTGGTTCTAGAAAAGCAGCAGATGCCTGGGAAATTTGCATCACCAGGAAACAGAGAAACTGTAATAATACCTTTACAAACTCAAGCTCTCATAGGAGAAATTTATACCATATTCACCTTCCTTCTCACTGGTGGGCGGGGATTGGAATACATAAAGTAAACAACCATATGGTCATGAGCCAGCCATATCAAATTCAGTGTCCATAAAACAGCATAAAAGTACAGTGTATCAGTCAGAGCATACTCCGTTATGCTGTGTAACATTTTATATGCAAAACATTAATGGCTAAGCTTCTACTTCTCTTTATACTTGATGTCCATGGAGGGCAGAATAGGAACTTGGTTCTGAGCTATTTTTACTCCAGGGCCAGACTCAGGAAGCAACCACTATCTGATCCATGACCATGACTTGCAGGGGAGAAATTTGGCCAATTACTCATGGATCTTAAAGTTTCCTCCCAGAAAAAAAATCTGTCACCTCAGCTTGCATTGATCAAAAAAAGTCTCTTGGCCACACCTAAAGAACTCAAGAAGTATAATCTTCCCAGAGGGTGGAAAGCTAGAAATTCTTAGTGGAAAGAAATGCTAATTACTCAAAGGGTTATCTACAAATGTCTCCAGGTGTCAAATGAGGGAATTATTAAAGGGTTCCCAGAGTACAAAGAATGCTAAGTGGGCATCTCACTCACTTGCTCGTTGCTGAGACAAAATACCTAACACTCACAAGTTAAAGAAAGAAAGTTGGTAAAGGTTTCAGCCTATAGTTGGCTGTCCCCATGGCAAGGCAGCATGGCTCGGGAGAAACAGCTCATGGCATTGCAGGCAGAAGGCAGAAAGGCAGCAAGCCATCCTTTCCTTTTTTATTCCATTCTGGCTACAAGCCTATTGTTTGGTGCAACCCACACCCAGAGTGGGCCTTCTGTTTTCAGTAAATCCATTCAGTCACACCCAGAATTATGCTAAAATAATCACTGGGCCAATCCAGTATCACAGCCATGATCCACTTACTCCCAAAATATCCACCTGTAGGTGCATGACCCCTTTGGGTGGGACGTCTAGATATAAACTGCAACAGTAATCATTAACTGTATAACTGATTTTGTGTTATTTTCAGTTATTAAAAAAGTCATTCACATCTCAGTTACTTCCAGTCCATCTTTATCAGCAATATTTTATTAATATATACACATATATTTTAAATGCCTAGCGATATTTTAGATATGTGAATGTGTGTATACTTTAAATTTATTTTTAATATTGAAGTATTTAAGTTTTAGATTAGATATATCAAGACATTCATCTTTTAATTCAAGAGTTTCAGTCACCCTGTGTTCTGGAATCACACTTTTGCCTCTTTTGAGTGACTTTCTGCCACTTCTTTGGCATTGGATAGGAGCACTGTGTCACCAATCACAGAAAGCCAATTCCACAGTTCCATGTGGAGGGCCACATTTAAAGAGAAAAAACAGATTGGGAGGGGGAGGGAAGAAAATAAAATTACATAGCTGAGAAGGTCAGCGTCAAGACAGATTTTGGAGGGTCTGACAGCCTGTGCTTACACCCTGTGCAGTGTGAAATCCTGGGAAGAGCAAGGTAACCTGACCAGGTACTGCTGCTTCATCAAAGGGCCTGGGACATGCAAAGCAGCCTTGCCACAGTACCTTGGGATGCTTGGGTCTTGACTTCCAGATGGAAGTTTAGGCTTCAAGGCTGCCTTCTGCACACAGTGATATCGAGGCTGTAAAGAAGGTAGGCTGGGGTCCAGAGGGCAACACAATGTTGACCTGGTGACAGGGAGGCTCTTAGTCTAGGATACCAGTAAAGCACCCAGAGATACCTCCTCATCCAGGCCAAGCAGCATCAAGGTGTTCCTGGGCATCTTTCCTAGGATACTTGACCCAGGGTTACCCATTCTCCAACCCCATCCACTGTGACTCAGGGCCCATTTCAAGGACTGGAGCAGTGAGGACCTTCATGGAAGAAAACCAGCCTTTTTGTTTGTTGGTCTCTTGTTTAACACTTTGATGCACCTCACTAATAACCCAGAACAAGGGGAATTAGGAAAATGGATTTGGTGATGGGTTCCACCCAGCAAGACACAGCTGTCTCTCTGGAATCAGAATCAGAGGGGAAAGAGCTTTCCAATCCTCCAAATTCTGTGCACTCTGAGAATGGATGGGGCCAGGGCCTGGCCTCTGATGCCTCCACACACTGGTGCTGGGTCTCTGCATGGGCATCTGGCCCCTATGAGCAATGGAGTAGAAATCAGAGGAGAGGTGGAACAGAACCTGGTCAGTAGCCCACCGGTGCTATCAAAATGCAGGATCCTAATTCAGGATCCTAATACAGGACCCTAATTCATCCCAGTTCTGGGTACTTTCCAAAATCTAATGCCTTATACTCTCCTGAATCCTCTCTCACGCAGAGGAAGAATTCCTTAAAGTCAGATGCCACATCTTCCCTCTGACCTCTTGCTGTGACTTCCCAGGAGCTGGCTGGTGCCCGTGCGCTCAGTACAAACCATGATAGTTGCGAGCGCTCTTAACTCGAATCAACATTGCAGAAGCAGTGACTCTGTGACAGCTCACATGTTTCCAACACTTGATACATGCTAGGCATTATTGGAAAGGGGTGATATTTCCTGAACTCCCTATTAGTCGGTCCTCAGAAGAATACAGGGAGCCAAGGGCATCGTCGTCATCATCCCCTGGGACTCAGACTCATACACTTCACAGACAGGTCCACTGAGGCACAGCCAGGAAAGTCCAGGATCTCCTCCTACTATGAGGATACAAAAATGTTCTAGTGCTCAGGTCTCATGTAAAATGGTGCAGGATTTGCATGTATCCTTGAATCATTTCAAGAATTCTTATAACAAGTAGAATAATGCGAATGCGTGTAAATAGCTATTGCACTGTATTGTTTAGGGGATAATGAGAAGAAAAAAATCTGCATGTTCAGTACAGATACACTTTCCAAATCTCTCAACCTATGCTTGGTTGAATCCATAGACACAGTCTGTAGATAAAGACAGCTGACTGCGCACTTACCTGCTGCAACATTGTTTATAACTGTGCTTTTCAATGAAGGGTAATTTTGTTTGCTAGATGACATTTGGCATTTTGCAGGGCAGTTTCTAACAGTAGACAAAAACCTGGGATGCTGTTAACATCCTATCATGGCCAATACACACCCCATCCCTGAACAAGGAATTCACTGGCCCAAAATGCCAATGATGTCAGGCTGCGAGTGTACTGCACTCTCTTGATGGAGTGTACTGCATAAGTGTCTAAAACTTAACTACACATTTATGTCCCAGATGCCTAACACAAACCCTGTGCAGAAGGGGCATCTCTCACACTTCCACTGGAGGTAAACAAGCTTGTGAATGGTAAATTCTTACCTGCCTGAAACATGTGCGCACCATCACCACACACAGTATGTCCTCAGGCCCAGTGTCCACGGAAGTTTGCCTGCACACACATGCACCAACACACAGGATACCCACACATGACAGACACACACACACACACACACACACACACACACACACACACACTCCCTACCTGTTACAGGCTTCCTGGAACCCATTCGACTCTAGTTACCTGGTCCCCAATTCACCTGAACATCAGGAGCCTCTTTGCCTTGTTCCACCTCAGCACAACAGCCCTCACGACCACCCCGGCAGTAACATCAACTGCTCTCCAAAATTAATTTCACTGATCAGGTACATTTTTCTGTTGTGGCTCCATTGTTAAATAAGCACCGGACCACCCCCAAAGGAAGCTTTTTGCAATTACACACAGAAAGTGACTTGACCACTCTGTGAAATGCCAATTTTGACAGTGGCCTAACAGCCCTGAAGGGTTGAGGGCAGAGCTGCATTAGTGGGGTGAGAGTGCAGTACAACTGGCTGGAGGGAACACAACGCAGACACAGATGCCAGCCCTGCAGGCACCATGAGCTGGAGCAGACTCAGGAGGGTGGACATCCAGAGGAAAGGACTAGGAGGCAAAGGTGCCACCTCTTTCTTCCACTCCATTGTAACCGGCTCTCTCAGGTTCTTGGGTCAAAACAGCAAGCTTCAGGGAATGACCAAATGCATGCTTATGAGCCAGAAAAAAGAAAAGCTCTCTGCTAGCCAGAGACGGATGATGCCCTGTGAGGCGGGCACCATGGAAGCTCAGGATCAGCAGTGGTTATATAGTTTTTGGAACCAGTGTACATGAGACAGAAAGCAGGGAGGCTCCAGGTTGCAGGCAGGCCTTTTGTGTTTGGAGTCCAAACTGCTTTAATTGCTATTTTATTTCCTTCAAGATCTCTCCCATCTGTTTAAGGATCTGTTCTTTGTCCTCACATCTCATTGGGCCCTGGTAGTCATTTTGGTATCCCCACTTTTAGTTTAGTTTAAGTTAATGTTCAGGCCTGTGCCCATCTGTTTAACTTTCCCTGTCTCCTGGCTTCGCCATCAGCTCTACACAAACGAAAAGGGAGAGCCCACAGGGGAGGTGCCACCAAAGTTTTCCATGCCTACTTCCTGGAAAATTAGAACAGAAAGAGACTGCCATTTACCAGCTCTTGGCTTCAGGAGACAAATCAAGTTACAACCGGTCTCATCCCTCCCCCCACCCCAAACAGCCTGATTCCTTCCTGGTTGTGAGTCCCCCAGGCACCTGGGCCTTCCCTACTGCAGGGTTATTCACCATCTTACAGACATTTTCTAGCCACTCATTTCCTCCTCAGAGGCTGTGTATTGCTCATTTCAGGGCCTGGCAGTCCTGTGATTGTAGTGATCCTGTGATGAATGAATACAGGAGTGAATCAGTGACCTACAAGCAGATGCATCTGTCCAGAGTTTCAGACTGAAGCAGGCAGAGGACAAAGGCCAGGTGACAAGCAATCATGTTTGTTGTGTTAAGGACATTGGATTCACTCAACATCACCAGAGTTAACAAGGGCAGAAGCACGCTAAATTCAGAGTGTTAGAGGCCCGTGTGCGTAAGTCAGTCAGCCACAACTGTGATGTTACAGCCCCGGCCTGCAGGAGGCTGAGAGGGTTATGTTCCTCGCACAGAAGGTTGACGAAAGTCTTCAACATTCAGTGGTCCCTTTCGAAACAGCTAGTAGGATTCTTTAAAGTACCTAATACAAACAAAGGATAAACATTTGAGATGATAGATATGCCAGTTACCCTACTCTGATCATTACATTTGTACACATGTATTGAAATATAACACTGTATTACATAAACATGTACAATTTTATGTGTCAATTAGTTGAACAGTTTAAAAGTAAAGATCGTAAAAATCATCACTAACATGATAATTTTTGTATTCTACTTTGGGTGTCTGGTTTTTCACTGGAAAAGTGAATGAACCCCTTACTTCTGAATATCATCGGAATATAAACCCACTTTATGTCATCTTTCACCCATACTTGATTTTTTTACCAGTTGCTTCCGGGAGACAGGGGGGCACTTTGTGTTCTCCACTTTCTTTTTTATTCTTTTTGGTTGGGACTGAATACTCTACATGTCCATTGCACATGTGTGCAGTGGCTTGCCTGTTCTCAGATATTTACCTCCTGGGCCCAGAAACACAGGATGCGCCATGTGTGGACAGCACAGCCACACAGGTGATGCTAAGGGATAGATACCTGAAACAAATGGCACCAAGCCAGTCTTTTGAAACTTCTCTCTCCAGGTGGCCAAACATAAGGATGGGGAATGTGAGAGTTTATGGCAGTGGAATGAGGCTGGGACACAGCATACAGGAACAGTTTTCCTGAGAGAAGCCCAAAAGCTAGAAAGAAGCTCACTGCGTATCAGACTCAGGTTCCTGACAGTCCTGAGTTCTACCGCACTCCTATGTGTAACTCTGGAAACAACCTCTGTTTCAACAGTTTTCTCTCCACTTCTTTTAAACAAGCTGCAGCGAGATTCTTTCCATTTGCCCCACTACTGACCATAATTAATACAATTTGGTTTGCATTTACAATCAGGGAAAAAGCCTGAGAGTGTGAGTGGGTATAATTTATATTTGAGATACAGATTTGCTTGGTTCACCCCTAAATTCAGATCACCTCCTTTGCAACAGTGACAAATCAACAGTCTTGCTTCTAGGAGGCTCCCGCCAAATGAATAGTGGAGAAACAGTGCTTTCAGGGTCTCCAGTAGAGTGGTTCATCATATCTAGTTTTCCCCAGTGCTGTCTTCTTCCCCACAGTCCAGCCAGCATCTGCCTTTTCAGGGGCAGCCAGAGGGTGACCTGGCGAGGAATCCAGCTCTTCTGTGTCAGTGGGAAGATGCTGGAGTCAGAGACCTGTGCATGAGTGCCTGCTCCACTCTCATGAACTATGTGAGTGTGTAAGTTGCTAACCTGTATTCGTTAGGGTTCTCTAGAGGAACTGAATCAATAGAAAGTATATGTGTAATTATGCAAACGGATTTATTAGGTGGGCTTACAGGATCAGAGGCCAGAAATTCTGCACTAGAATGCTAAAGAAACTGGAAATGGATGTTTACAGGCCATGGTTGCGATAAGACCTCTTCCAAAATTGTCACACTTTCTCTTTCCCTTTTTATTTCAACCTGATTGCAAAGCTACTGGTTGGTGCCACCCACAACCAGGTGCGCCCGCTTGCCTGTTTGCTGTCCTACCTGTCAGTCATCCACAGACACACCCAGGACTGTTTTACTAAACTGCAAGGTATTTCATACTCCATTCCAGTTGACATGCCATAATTAAGTCATACCTCCTTAAGTCTCAATTTCACAAGCCTTAATATGTTGCTAGAAATGATGGTCCTAATATCACTCAGAAGTCTCTGGCCTTATCTTCTTGGTTCCTCCTTAGACTGATAGCCTCTAACAGGAGACTCTTTCTTACCATGCTCTGCTTTTGCATCTCCAAAACCACCATGTACCCTTGGTCTGCACAATACAGATATTTCCTTATGACATTCCTGCTTCTTAGCTTTTAGATCATCCAAGGCTACTCACCAGTCAGCACAGAATGGTGGTACAGGGCAGATGACTTCAAAAACCATGGCAGATTGCAGCAACCAGAGATTTTTTCTTGTTTGCAATCATGTGGTACTACCTGTTTATGCAAGGGCAATACCCCCCAAGGACTCCAGTGGATTCCTGTAAGTGCAGACAGTATCAAATGCTATATCCTCTGGTTTTCCCCCACGTACGTATCTATGCCAAATTTTTACTTATAAATTAGGCACACTAAAAGATGAGCAGCAAAAACTCCTAGTAAAATAAAATAATTATAATATTACACTGTAGTACAAAATTATTTAAAACTTAAGAATATTTTATTTCTGGAAATTTTCATTTAGTATTATCTGACCATAATTGATCATGGGCAACTGAATCCATGGGCAGGGAAATATTAGATGGGGGGGACTACTTTTCACCTCAGACTGTAAATAGGGTACATCTCTGCCCTACCCATCTTCATTCCAGGGGCAGCCCCTTTCTAGAGAAAATATGACTCATGGCAGAGGGAAAAACCAGATAAAGACCTTAAGACATGCCAGGGTTAGTACACATCCTTCCACTTCCATTTGATCAGCAAGAGCAATTTACGTGGCCAAACCTTACATCTGGGGAAGTATAATCTTCTTGCATAGATGGATTCAAGGAAGTACTTTGAACAAATGAGTCTTTACTGTGAGGTCCACTACTTGGTTTTAAGGACTCTATGGCTGTATCTACAAGAAAATATGTAAGTAGAATGTCCAATTCATCATCCGCTGTGCATGGGGAGATGGGGGAGGATGGCTTGGTTTCTCCATCTGACTCCCTCCTCTGACCTTATGTCTCTCTCTCTCTTTGGGCTCCAGGGGCCCCCTCACACTAGTGACAAATTACATTTGGTTCCAGCCATCATAAAGACTTTCACATAAGAAAAATTGGAAGGAAAGAGACCAAAATCTAATTTTCTTTTTTCTCTGGTGTGATTTACTTTTTAGAATCTTCTAATTTTCCTAGCATGAGTATCTATTTATTGAAGGTGAAACTTAAAACACTCTCTTAAAATACTAATCTGGCAGCAAAAGGCAAGATCATCTCCAGTGGGCAGAGGCTAGAGACAGAGGATCAGGGAGGAGGAATGAGCCTGAACCAGGGTAGTAGCTGTGGGGATGGAAGAACAGCTTGGATAAAGCCACATTCATCTGAATCCCACAGGACTGGTAGGCACAGGGTGGGGAGTTGAAGGAAAGGTGGCTCCTTGGCATTGGTCTTGGGCCAACATGGAGGAATCAGAGGCAGAAGAGGAGAAGAGGAGAAGAACCCCTAGGAGGAGGCTGTCTGTGGGCACACAAAACTCCGAAGTTTCTTCCCACCACCCCAGCACCAGTATTCCACCGAGGCTCTGCCATGGCAAGTGGATCCATGTCTAACTTCATTTAGACATTGCTTCATTCTTTGGAAACTGTCATTTACTGGCCACCATCTTTCTTTTAGAGAAGAAAGGCTTGATGGACAACTAATAAGGTCATTTTATCCATTTTCCTTCCAGCCTGGGTGAAAAGTCCATATTCAGACCCTCCTGATGTTGCCAAGGATCTAATCTTTTGGCATAGGAAGAGCTGCATTCAAACAATGTGATCTTGGGCAAGTCCTTTGGCATCTCTGGGATGCGTAATTTTTATGTGAGTGGAAACTACAATACATGCTGCAAAGAGATGGAAAGAGAGCACCTTGGAAAACATTTACTATTAGCACATTTAACGCTGGCACAGTGCTAATTCTTTTAATGATAGAGATCCCTAGCGGAGTGCTTATTATAGGAATATACTGGCACAGCATAGTGGTGCAAGCCTTTTTGCGAGGAGTGGATGCTGGCTCGCATCTACATCATAACCGAAAGCAAGTGTGAGTGCAGGCTGTTGCATCTCATTCCTCCTCTCCACCACTTAATGGCCAGAGTCCTTCCTTGTCTCGCAGATAAATTTCTTCACATCTGCTCAGCTCATAAAGCAACAGCCTGCTGTGTGACAATGACCCTGGCCTGGATTCTGACAGTGTCATGGAAGAGCATTGCTCTGGAGCCACACAGGTCTGCTTTACATTAGCTTGACCCTAGTAGTATGACTAAAATCTTTTGAGCCTCAATGTCCTCCTGTTTGAGATGTGAGTAATAATATTGTCCTTAGCATCCTGTTTTGACAATTATTTTGAAAGCAATATGTGCAAAGCATTTGGCCCATAGATGCTGTGTATTAAGCGTGAGCACCTTGTATTTATTCTACTGGATTTTGCCATTTAAGGCAAAACATTTATTTTAAGACTTGAGGTTTTTTTTCAGCTCATTATTTTTATCCAGGACTATGATAGCTACTAAGTGTTTGGGGCTCCTCTCTCTCCGGAGACATTTTACGGTGCCAATTAAAAGTGCAAGTAAACCTAGATTAAAAAGTAATGACTAGCAACGTGTAGAGTGGCTTCCCCTCCTGACACCCAGCTTGCTACTCCTGTAGCTCATTTCCAAATATCTAATTCTCTGGGGAACAAACACATCCAGAGCCAAGGGACCATCATTAAGACTGTACAATTCTGAATCATTTGCAGACCTTGGGGAGAGGGATGTTCTATGAATGCAGGAAAACATTAAATTCTTGCGCACTGATACTGGCCTTCCTTGTTAGGAGAGACATCGGATGAAGGGGAAAACAATGAATCTTACAGAACTGAATGAGTTGGGTCAGACATGGGCTCAGCCGAAGCCTGGACCCTGTTCTACTTACACTGAACTTCCCTATTTCACCTTTCCACACACAGAAGGCTCTTGGTCGGTGTGTGGGTCCACCAATGAATCTACCCCTGTGGGTGGCATCCTATTAATTTTCCTTTCAGTTCTATTTTTTCTGCTTCTTAGGTCTTTTGTTTTCCTTTCTCTCTCTCTCTCTCTCTTTGCCTTTCCAAGGACCACAGGCATAAGAACGAAACGATCTGCTTTGGCTTTGTGACCACAGTTAAATTGCCAATTTTCTCTGAAAACCACATCTGTGCTCTGCAGACGGGGTCTGCTGTCCTCTTTCCCAAGCTCTCCCGTGTATACTCACTCCCGGGGCTCAAGCCTGTTCTCCCTCCTAGGTTTCTGCAGCTAAAAAGGTCTCTCCTGTTTGCAATCACTAGAATCCGCATCACCATCCTCCCCTGGCCAGGCCACCCATCCTCCAAGCCTTCCCTAGGGAACTCTCTTGGCAAGGACACTGACCATGCCACATGCCTTCTCTCTTGGTCCATGACAGAAAGGACTCCCCTCCCTCCTTAGAGGGGACGCTGAAAACAGCCTCCTGGGCAGACACTGTGCTTATGCACAGCTTACTACTCCTGCCAATTCTTGCTTCCTTCACCACCCACATGTCACGTTCCAGCCACGCCACCCTGGGGTTCCCCTGTGGAATTTTTGCCTGTAGTACCCACAGGGGCTCTGCTGTCTCCCTGGAAAATTCCTGCTCGTTGGGAAAGAACCAGCTTAGAAACCTGCTTTGCAGGAAGACTTCCTTCACTATCCTGTGTTTGGCTAAGGATCTGCCTTCTGGGTCTCAAAGCATTTTTTATCCTTAGTATCCAGCAGTTCTTCCCACGGTGGTCTCAGAAGATGAGACCTTCTCATCTCTAACTGGGTGCAGAAGGCTTCGCATGACACACAGTGATCACTAAAGCCACAGCTCAGGTGGGAAGGGGAGGACCCATCTCTGCAAAGTTATGCATTCTCGGCGAACACCAGGAGAACCAAACACCCCAGAGCTGGAAGCTTCTTGTGTATGTGCTCTGACCACATACTTTTTTGATCAGCGCTCTTTTTCATCATTCCTCAATTTCTTGGCCAGCTAAGTTTGGTCAAGCACAATTACAACATAGTCCTTCGCAGAGAGTCTGCCATCTCCCCGTTCTTCATCCTAGGGGAACACCTCCAGCAGAGGCCATAGTTTAAGCTTACCCTCGAGAATAATAACAAGCCCGAGTAAGATATAAACATCCATCCCACCCAAATGCCATCTGCTGGGCTGCCCTGGGACTTGGGGACAAGCAGCAAGCGAGCAGGGACTAGTGAGATCTGCCTCGGTGAGTCATGCCCCAACTCCCGCTGCGCTGTGCCCTCCAGGGCTAGCAGGCAAGAGCAGAGAGGACCGGAAGTAGCAAGGCAGTGGCGTTCGTTGTTGCTGCTCATCAGGCATCCGACCACTGTCCCTCCTGCCAGTCACTGGAGGCCCTCGTGGACACCTACACAAGCCATGCCCTGAAACGGGGCGGGGGGCTACCTCTAGTGCCACACAGACACCTTCTTCTGGCTGGACCCACGGGGAGGCGGTCTTCAGCACGCTCCATGTGGAAACCCTGTGTCTGTCCCTCCTTGCCTGTTCACTCAGCCAGGGCCTCCCTCCTCTCCCTGAAGTGTCACCTCCTCCACCCTCTCACTCTGCAGGTGACAAGAATGAGCTTTACCTCATGTTTGCCCCTAGGACCTATGTTAGGCTCTCTGGTGTGACCCTTCTGTTCTCCCTCACTCCCTCCCCATCTCTATGGAAACTTTCTGGGTGCCTGACCTTGCTACTTCCTCCCCAACTCCTCTCAACCTTCCGCCATCCTCCCTCCCGTCACATGCTCTAGGGAGGCAAGTCTGCCTTCCCTGGCATGGACCTGCCCTTCTCTTCTGATTGTCATGGATTCTATATGTGGCAGCTTTCTTCCAGGTCCTGAGACAATGGGAAATACTTATTTTGTTATAAACACATACACATACATCTCACATGGATGATATCAGGGAAAAGCAGGCTGATATTTGCTTTGAGGAGTGTTTTTTAACGGTGGTATGTTGTGCAGGACCAATGCCCACCAGTGATCTGGACGGGTACCTTGGAGAGGAGAATGTTTGTCATTTATAATTTGGCAATAAGCAGTAAAAATATTGAGTTGTATTTGTGTATACACGCCAGTGTACAACTTTCCACTTCAAGAGCTATTGAAACTGCCTTTATGAAGCATGATCAAAAACTCGGTGCAGCTGTGGCTGAGCACCATCTAACAGAATGGCAGGCTTGTGAAAAAACCTTATGGCATGTCTCTATCCACCTTATTTGCTGGGCCTGGAGCCATGTGACTTCCGGCTCTTCTCCAAA